AATTGTAACGGGGTTTCTAAGAAGACCTTGTTGACTTACTCGTGAGACGTGTCGATTGGATCATGAAGGAGGTCATCGGGGAGGTAACAATCGAACACGTCTTACATGGAATGACTCCCAAGTGTTACCCTCGAAAAAAAATCGAGACCTATATGGTTGGATAGAGCGTAAAAAGTTATTTTAAAATCCAAACGGAATAGTTGGTAAAAATTTTTTTTTGGGAGTTATGGTCCAAAAAGTGCCAAAAAATGCCTAAATTTTCAAAAAATCATAACTTCGTCAGTTTATGTACGTTTTTTGAAATTAAAAAACAGTAGATAGACAATTATTTGAACATTTGAGAACAAAATGTTTCAATTTTTTCCTATTGATTGGATTATTGATTTTTTGAAAAAATCAAAAAAATTTTCAATATCTCCAAAATCCTAGGTTAACTTTTTTTTCATTATGACCATTAAATTCAGCACATTTGATTTACTATAGAACCATATCAATACCCCGGGGGAACTCATGCTCACACAAGTTATGCCGAAAAATATCGATTTTTGGCACTTGGCTTCTTTGAATTCGTTGTCCTCGGCGGCCGGTATGATGAGGGGCATACTTGTTTTTGTAATTTTTACTTGCGTATCGTTTGCCTAGAGTGTTTGAAATAAAATCCTGCGGCATACAAAGTCAATTTTTCAAATGCCGTACCATTTCTTAAAATCATCATCTTTAAAATCATCATCCAGAAAAACGTAATCTTATCAACGGCTTGAACAGAATTTTTAATTAGGCCCTGAAAATAAAAATATTCACTGATGATGGGACACCTTTTATTTTTGATCATAACTTGAGAACGAAAAAAAATATCAAAGAACTGTTAACGCCATTCGATTTAAAATCAGAAAATACTATTAGATAAATGTTATTGGTTTGTTTCGTATCGTGAAAATAGGTGAAATGGAAAAAGATCAATTTCGGCTGTCCGAAGCTGGAAGGATATCTTTCGGAAATCGTTCATTTAACTTAATTTCACCACAGGGACCAAGTTGATTCCACTTTTTCTATGTTATTGTTTCATTTTAAATCGAATGGCGTTAACAGTTTTTCGATATTTTTTTTTCGTTCTCAAGTTATGATCAAAAACAAAAGGTGTCTCATAATCAGTGAATATTTTTATTTTTAGGGCCTAATTAAAAATTCTGTTCAAGCCGTTGATAAGATTACGTTTTTCTGGATGATGATTTTAAAGATGATGATTTTAAGAAATGGTACGGCATTTGAAAAATTGACTTTGTATGCCGCAGGATTTTATTTCAAACACTCTAGGCAAACGATACGCAAGTAAAAATTACAAAAACAAGTATGCCCCTCATCATACCGGCCGCCGAGGACAACGAATTCAAAGAAGCCAAGTGCCAAAAATCGATATTTTTCGGCATAACTTGTGTGAGCATGAGTTCCCCCGGGGTATTGATATGGTTCTATAGTAAATCAAATGTGCTGAATTTAATGGTCATAATGAAAAAAAAGTTAACCTAGGATTTTGGAGATATTGAAAATTTTTTTGATTTTTTCAAAAAATCAATAATCCAATCAATAGGAAAAAATTGAAACATTTTGTTCTCAAATGTTCAAATAATTGTCTATCTACTGTTTTTTAATTTCAAAAAACGTACATAAACTGACGAAGTTATGATTTTTTGAAAATTTAGGCATTTTTTGGCACTTTTTGGACCATAACTCCCAAAAAAAAATTTTTACCAACTATTCCGTTTGGATTTTAAAATAACTTTTTACGCTCTATCCAACCATATAGGTCTCGATTTTTTTCGAGGGTAACACTTGGGAGTCATTCCATGTAAGACGTGTTCGATTGTTACCTCCCCGATGACCTCCTTTATGATCCAATCGACACGTCTCACGAGTAAGTCAACAAGGTCTTCTTAGAAACCCCGTTACAATTCCCGTGTGGCTCAGCCGGTTACGTACTTCCATGTCAACCTACTCTCCTTGTTTCAACTCCGTACCAGATATATTTTTTTGATTCATGTAAAGATTGGGAGATGATCCAATCAAAGAACTAAGAAGACGACGGTCAATGAGACAATCCACTACGAAATTCATTTTGAACGGAGTTTGGCAAGGACTGTGAGTTTCAGAAGATCCGTGCATTAACCAATTTTTACTATTACAGTAGAACAGTCAGAAGCTACCACTACGATGACAAAAAGGGCGAATTGCTAAGTTGTCAGGTGAGTTGATTGTTTTCGATAAAAATGATAATTTTTATAATTTTTTAGGGAAGAAAGAATTGTGTCAAGCGCCTAAAATGGGAGCAACTCAAGCGATTCCGGGAGAGTCTCCACGACAATAATCAGGATCCTGACGATTACGCCACAGATCAACTTCTCCAGTAGTAAGACATGTTTATCTAGGCGGTGTTTCCTATTTCTTTTTTTCAGTGTCGAACAGTTTCCCAACACGCCACGGACAGACAATCGGGCCCGTACTTGATAATGCAACCTACCGTTCTTCACTAAATGCTTAGTTCTAAATCATTTCCCGTTTATCATTTCATAGTTCTGCATTTCATTCTTTTCTTTTTTGTTGCTCTACGTTTTCTAATGAGCATGTTGTTTTTTTGGGCATAACTTGTGTGAGCATGAGTTCCCCCGGGGTATTGATATGTTCCTATAGTAAATCAAGTGTGGCAAATTCAATGGTGATAATTAAAAAAAAAGTTAACCTAGGATTTTGGAGATATTGAAAAATTTTTTGATTTTTTCAAAAAATCAATAATCCAATCAATAGGAAAAAATTGAAAAATTTTATTCTCAAATGTTCAAATAATTGTCTATTTACTGTTTTTTTAATTTCAAAAAACGGACCTAAACTGACGAAGTTATGATTTTTTGAAAATTTAGGCATTTTTTGGTACTTTTTGGACCATAACTCCCAAAAAAAAATTTTTACCAACTATTCCGTTTGGATTTTAAAATAACTTTTTACGCTCTATCCAACCATATACAGTACTGGCCAAAAAGGTATTCGCAAACGGTTTTTTGAGAGTAACTTTGCTGAAACTTAAGGGATCGATCTGAAAATTTTACTGTGCATGTCGTACACGGTGACGACAAATTGCGTACAAGGAAATTGCATCATTTTCAGAAATTTTTTGTTTTTTTCAATTTTTTCAATTTTTTCGTTTTTACACTTTTTTCATATTTTTATATTTTTGGATATTATGGTTTCTAAGAATGTTGGTTTTGGCTCCTATGTATTTAAAACTGTTTACAGACATGGCCAGACCCCTCGGAAAAAAAACATCTCTCAGGACATCCGTAAAGCCATCGTCATCGGCTTCAGAAGTGGATGTTCCAAGGACCTCTTGGCGCAGCAGTTCAATGTTACTAAACGTGCCATCGAGAAGATCTTGAAGCAGTTTCGGGATGAGGTAATATTCAAAAATAGCATAGTTATGGAAAAAAATGTTTAGGGAGCCTTGATGGAGCGAAAATCGCCTGGAAGACCGCGTATCACGTCGAAGAACATGGATCGGAACATCGTCCGAGCTTCAAGAGAGGATCCCCAGAGGAGTTCTACGGACATTCAGATGGTCGTGAAGACTCCAAATGAAGTCACACCATCCCTGAGAACCGTCAGAAGACGTCTTCAAGATGCTGGACTCCATGGACGACGGCCAGCTAAGAAACCATCGATCAGCAAGAAGAACAGAATCGCCCGCGTAGCATGGGCCAGAGCTCATCTCCACTGGGGACGTCAGGATTGGGCTAATCACGTGTTCAGCGACGAATCCAAGTTCAATCTGTTCGGTACTGACGGTATCAAGTGGATTCGCCGTCCGGTTGGATGTCGGTTCGATCCCAGCTACCAGCTCCAAACCGTCAAGCATGGAGGTGGATCGGTGATGGTCTGGGGCTGCTTCTCTGGGACTTCAATCGGCCCGCTGAGAAGAATTACGGGCATCATGGATCGCTTTGTGTATGAAGACATCTTGGAGAACACAATGAGACCCTGGGCACGGTCTACTGTGGGCCGGGCGTTCGTTTTCCAACAGGATAACGACCCGAAGCACACCTCGAAGCACATCAAGGAGTGGTTCCGACGCCGCCACGTGGATCTTCTGGACTGGCCAAGTCAATCTCCGGACTTGAATCCGATCGAACACCTCTGGGAGCATGTCGAGAGACAGCTTAGAGGGGTCCGTGCCTCGAATGCCAACCAGAAGTTCGACCAACTCCAAGATGTCTGGCAGGCCATCCCGATGTCTGTCATCGACACCCTTCTCGACTCGATGCCAAGAAGATGTCAAACGGTAATCGACGCCAAAGGCTTCCCAACGAAGTACTAAAGCTATTTTATTCATTTTCTATTGTTATTTTTCGTTTACCGGTCTATCCTAGATCTCAGAAGTCAAAGTTCCATTTACCGGTTTTTTGCAATTTTCATGAATTTTTCGATTTTTTTTCAATTTTTTGAAATTTTGACTATCTTGTTGTTGAATCAGTTTCTTTTACCGTTTTAAACTTTGTCTTAAAATATCAGATTGATCCGGGAAGTTTCAGAAAAGTTATGCTCGAAAAACTATTTGCGAATACCTTTTTGGCCAGTACTGTAGGTCTCGATTTTTTTCGAGGGCAACACTTGGGAGTCATTCCATGTTAGCAGAAATCTGAAAATAGGTATAGATTAATAATTTGATTATTTCGAAACAACCTTGGATCTCTGCAAAGATCTCTTCTGGGAGTTCTACGAATTTTCCGCCCATGTTCTTGTTGCTGCGAGGATGATATGTCACCTTCCAAATTTCAAATGTTGGACATGTTAGCTGAAAGTGGGAGTTCAGCGTCAATGATGAAAAAGAGGAGTTACCTTCCGAAAAATCTGGACTAGCATGGAGATTGATGGCTCCTGATTGATGGCTCCTTCTCCGATGAGCACATAGCTCTAATAAAAATATTCAAGTCAAATGACACGAAGAATCCAGATTTTTTAATAATATGGAAAGCATCCAAACTTTTATGTTGAATACCGCCTAAAGAACTTCCATCTTTGAGAGAGTACGTCAATGAGTTGACAGATTTTGAAGACGCTTCAATGGTTTTTCATGACAAGATGGAAAATTTTGCTGAAAATAAGTTCATCGATTAGTGGTACGCAAAAGCAGAACAAACCAAAAAGATGGACACCGCATTATAAGATTTCATATCTTCAAGGTCAGCATTCTCATTCGCGAGCAAGTTCATCATTAATGGAACTTTGGGTGGTTCCGTTTGTTTTGAAATTTCCTACAAGAATTTCTATATGACACTTAAAAATAGCTGTTATAAAATTACCATCAAACAGACTTCAGAAAGTGTTCCAGATGATATTCTGTTTCGAATGATCCTACCGATTGTAAGGAGATTGCCATCTTTCAAAGCATTCAGAAGTCTTTCTGAAAGCGTTCATTATCAAAAAGTTTGAAAACCGACAGACTCACCTGAACATGTCATTTCTTCAATTTCGTCGTCATCCAAATGTGACGTGAGACTGAAGTTATGATCACGAGAAACATTCAATGTTCTAGGACGAGATGAACTTTTTGGCAGTGTTTCTTCGGAAAAGTGTCTTTTATGCCAGTGCGACGAACCGTCGAAATTCATCTTAGTCAGCGAAGTGAATGTCTTTTCTTCTTTCAATGTGTTGGAGTGACGGTAGATGTGACGAGTTGAACATGTTGTTTGGAATTGAGATAAGCTATCAGTTTCTTGTGATGGGCGGTGAAGCTTTCGTGGAGGGGAATATTCGGAACCTGAGGTTCTATTTTCGATATCCACGAATTCATCTTCATATTTCTTCTTGATCAACTTTGCTTTAGAACCAATAACCTAAAATTGGAGAGAATATGATGAAATGCTGGCAGAAACTCACGGAAGCATTGCTCTTTCCCTTCTTTTGCTCATCGACAACCGTTTTCCCAGACGATTTTCCACGAGTGATCATATCTGAAAAATACAGTAATTTTCTCGACTCCTAAAAATATTTTTAAAAGTGACGAAAAACAGGAGAGCGATAGAAAGGACGGAATAGGAGAAAATTAATTGAAAAAATATGATAAATTTCGTAAAAACACGAAGTTCAGTGTAGCGCACTTCTGGTTGCTGTATTGATGCTGTGCAGATGCTGCATGAAAGGTGTAGACGCGGCGATGCCACGGTGTGCCGCATATTTACACTCAATGAGACACAATAGTGAAGATATTCAAAGGATTTATTGAAATAAAAATGATTTCGTAAACAGAAACAATCTCAGCTACGAGATACGAATGATTTAGAATTGACTTCAATTACAGTACACATACCTAAAACTTGTTCTAGCTGAATGACATGAAAATCAGAACCAATAACTTGTTGGAAGAAAATATTAGAAGCCTCTGCGACTTCTATAATAGAAAAAAGGAACCATTTGTAGAGCACCACCGAGAAAGAGATGAGAACGCGGAAACGGTTTGGAAAGTTTTGATTAAAACCATATCCAGACCTCCGTGATGGAAAAATCGCTCGATCGATGCAAACCTCACATTTTTTTGGTTCTCGGCGTAATAAATGAAACAGTTTTTCTGAATACTGGCGGAGCATGAACGTCTGGTAGAGTAAATCTTGGAGCTGTGGCATGCGGAACATCTGAACATCCACCATAAAAATAAAAACCAACGTTGGTTTACACACCTGAAACTAGGAATACTGAAATTCATTGAAGCCAAGTAATCTCTCTCTCCTCTTGTCAACGGTTCATCATCGATTTTAGGTGACGTGACGTATGTTTCTTCTTTCACTGCTTTCATAGTTTTTGGGTAAGACACAGGACAATCATGTTTTTTAATAGTGGCACTACAGTATGCAACCGCTCGTTGCAATCCCATGAACCTTCGAGACATATTCAAATCACCCCTTGTAGAATTCGCATCTGCTCCTCTTCCTAACACTTGGTTGAGTCTTTCAAAAGGAGACGCGCTTGATATTAAAGGGCTTCCGTCGTCTCTTAATCTTTCCACCATGTGATCCAAAACAAACTGAAAAATGATTCGGTGTTCAATGAATTTTTTTGATATTCCTATATGTTGCTTCATTGTGTAAAATCCCGGGTAATTACTCGCTAATACAACTTGTAAAACTGGGGTTACTTTTCAATTGTAGAAATATGAGAGAGGCAAAACAGAGGGTCAACAACCAATCGAGTGAAGATCCATTGCAAATACATGCAGAACAACCACAATTCACCGGATTAGTGGATCACAATCAAAGCAAGAACGGCGATGTTGAAAATCTAAAAACAACAAAGTCAAACTCAGATGAATTTCGGACCTTGTACCTGCTGAACTTCATATCCCGTGCGATTTGACAACATGATTCGGACGATTTTTGGCTTATCACATGGCCTGGCTACTGATTTGCTTCCTTTTTTGTTCTCTTGGACACCTGGTGTTAATACACTTTTGGTTTTTATTTTGAAAGCAGAAATTCGTCATGCTATTTTACGAAAACATCCGGCGACTATTTTGACGTCGAAGACAAAAACGCGCAGCCGCAACACCTACCAATGGAAAACTCCAAAGTCTAAACTTAAACAAAAATTCTTCACACATAGGGTTCTTAGTAAAATGATGAGCTCTACAAAACGGATCTAAAAGCCTGCTGCTGTCAGAAGTTCGGAAAAAGATTTGTTATTATCCACTATTATTCATGTCTAGGTTAAGAAATATGTTATGTCACCATGTACCTTTTGGTCTATTTATTCTCGCTTTCATCCTTTTTTCTTTTTATTCTTCCACGTATTTTTTACGTAATAAATACAATACAATACAATACAATACAAGGTTAAACGATCGGTGGTTAAATAATGATTTAAGAACTGATATGTACATTGAACAAAAAAGTTATAAAGTTTTTATCGAAACAAGTATTGAATATGTAAAGTGAAAAACGGGATTCCAGCAAATGAACAATTAGTGAGCATAGCAACCAATATCTGCTGAATAATGATGAGAAGTTGCATAGTAATAGGTTATCGGCTCGGCTTCTTTCATATAAACATGTTGTGCATTCACATGAACACAATCTACCTTCGGATGTTGATAAAATCCACATATTTGTGGTCCTGGACAAGTATTTTTGACCCAATTTGAAGATTCTGACTTCAAAAATTTGTAGTATTTTTCTTCGAAGCACTTGTTAACCAAATAGTAAAAATAGTAAAAGTTCGGAAGAGTTGGTACGATTTCAGCAATAGGCTCTTTGCTGAGAATGAATTGAAGTTCATTTTCAATGTCGACAAACGCAGCTCCGTACAACTTCTTATAATTTTTCGAGTTGTTTGAAAATAATCCACCGGCCCGTGAGTCGGTATTCACAGCGGGCTCATCGTATATCTGGAAAATTCTGTATGAGTTCACATTGAAATTATTGCCAACGTACCCAGGTAATGTTTTCGATGTACGTTATTTCATTTTGAGTAACATCAATTGACACAAATCCATCAGGTGTATGCAATGGGCGGTCCATCCAGGTATAGTTCAGGTTCTTAGGTACAACCACGACTTTCCCAATTTGTTTCTAAATTTTATATTATTTCGATTTCAGGATTTCTTGACATATTGAACGCATACCGTATTTTTATCCGCTAAACTATCCAACATTGATTGAATGGAAAAACCAGTTGAGTTATAAACATTGGCGTCGAAATTACGTCGCTGGTATGACAGATATGCTACACCTTCAGACTTTCCAATAATAGATTCAAACTCTTCTACATAGGTTGGCGCGACTTTTGGTACTAATATATCGTTTAATTCAAATAGTGCGACAAACTTCGCGGATTCCTAAAAAAAAACTTCCAGACTTGGCTGACAGTTTTTCAGACTTTATATTGCAAAATACAATCGGTTTGGGCGGCTGCCAAACTCTGAAATTCCGTTTCTTGATAAGCATCAGCAATGTCAAATGGTATAGCAGGAAAGTAAGATCGATCCCAAGGTTGCATGGTAACAAAGTTCTGAAGAAAGTTGTATAGGTATCAAGTAATGGAATTTTTGATTTCACCAGTTTCTCATATTCGTGAATGAGTTTGAAAAATGAAGTAACTCCGCTAATGAAGTATAAGTGTAGATGAGCGCCAAAACTGTAAAAAAACGCTAAAATCTGTAATAGAAGAAGTCCGCAGATAAAAGAGAAGAGTACCGTCATTTTTAATGTCTCGAGGTTTGTTACTTTGGAACAAGCATACCTTTCCTAGGATCATTTCTTCTTGTTAAATAGATACGATAGAACTTGAGTAGTACCACAAAATGGTACTACTTGAAAAATTTTATACTCGTGCCGGGTCGGATCCGGGCTGTTTTTTGGCCTTTTTCTGTTTGCAACTTTGTCCATAGACAAGATACAGATTTTCAAATAGTACCACCCAGATAAATTGGGCCAAAGTTGAAAAAGGTTTCATTGTCGAAAATTGTAACTTTCAAAAAAAAACTCACTGTTTATAAATATGAGCTGCTGTCAAAAAACTTTGCCATAATTCGCTTACATATATCGGCGAGATACAAAACACAACATCACGCTTTGCATATGACGGTATTTTATACGGAATCTGAAATGTAATGATTTCAGCATCAATTGTTTTCACGAAAACTATTTTATGTACATCCGCTTGTGTCTCATTTGTCATAAGTGCGATTTGAGTGGGGTTTGGCAGTAATTGGAGTGTTGCAAAGACGGTAATCATTTGACAATTATCATGTAGTGTTATTCTGTGACAAGATAATTGTTTTAGGAAGTCTTCAGTCTTACCTTTCATAATTTGCGCTCAGTACGACTCCAGCAGAAAAGTTGCGAGCCATGACAGTTAGTTTTGTCTGATCTACACCATTCAGTTGCTCATTTTTGTTCCTACCAATGTTCATACTCATTACCAATGCTAAAGAATTGTTGCCAAGACTGAAATCAAAAAGTTTTATTATTATTATCGTTTTTCTCCAAGGAACCTTTCCGATGTCGTATAAAAATACGCCGATAGTATAAATGCTTTCAGTGGACGTTTTTGTTTTTCTGGTCTGGAAATTATATTTTTAAAACTTGAGCAATAAAACCAACTAACTTTTGGTCGCCTATAGCATACCGGATATCTTTGGCGTACCGAATAGCAATAACAGAAAGAATAAAAAGTATTAAGCATAATACGTGGAGTTTTGTTACTTTTATTTTTTTAGACATGACCAATTCGGAAAGCAAAAAATAGGCGAAAACCGAAATAAAAAAACTAGTCCATCAGATGACGATAAGGTTGAATCAGATTGTAATCTCTCCGCAGACTGGTAAGTTCGAAACTGCTTTTTTGGTGAACCAATGTTATTGGAAAAAATGAAATAAAGGAATACGGAGATTGGAAGAAAATGACCATTTTTTATTTTGAATTACCCAAATTTAGATAAAATCTAAAACAAGACGACTTGAAAAATTAGGGTCACAAAAATCAAGTTATATACTTTGTTGATTATGTTTGTTCAAAAAATCGTAGCTGTAGGAGAGGAAAACTTGTGGGCGTGGTCAATGATTCCCAAAACCGTAACCTTAAATTTCCTTTTTTTTCAATTGTCTTTTTTCTCAATTTGATTGAAACCTCCAAACAAGTCGGAAAATAATATTTTTCTAAACCTAAAAGGATGCCGGAAAAGTGAACGAACATCGAGAAACATACCTAAGAATACGAACAGATTTACTAATTTCGGTAGCTCGGTCGTGGCCATCTGATTTTGTCTTCCACAACTCTTTTTTGCATACCAACATAATAGAATCACTGAAATTTTTAAACAAAACAGTTAAGTACAGACTATTTTCATTACCGTAAAACCTGTAATACAAGGGCCCTCACACTGTCCATTCCTTTATCCCAATTTTTAAGCAAGATATCAAAAATATGTCAACTGATAAAATATTTGTGATAATATGATGAGCAATTTATCTGTAGACAGGTTTTTTGTACTTTTGACAGGAACCACGAAAAAAAATGGCTCAAGTTAAAATGTAGGGGCCCTTTTAATACAAGTTTTACGGTAAATATTGTCCCAGATGGGAATCTGGTCAGATTTACACAATTTTAACCATTATCAGGAGTCTGGAGCTCTGGTTGTCCAGTTTTCGATCACTTTGAAAACTTTCGAGGGTTCAAAACAAACCTAGATTGAAAGTTTACATTCACAGAATTTTTTGAAATTCCTAATTTTCCGGTTATTTGCCATTTTTCGGAAGAAACCTCTTTTTTGCCTGTTTTTGTACTGTAAACGTGGAAAAAAGCAGATGCCTTTCAAAAATCGGAGAATGGTTGTAAAACAAGGAACTTTCAAAAAATTATATGAATGCAAAGTTTTCAATTTAGATCTGTTTAACACCCTCCAAAAAGTGATCAGGAATTTGAGAGCCGAGCGTGGAAATGGTCAAAACCAACTGAAAACATATTTTCTGTATCATATAGATCGGTACTGTATTTCTCAGACAGTTGTTTCTAATGATCCAACTATACACATTCAATCTAGCTTCCACCACAATTCAATATTCCAAAACCGAGACTCATGAGACAACTTGGTCAGGCAAAATTATTAGTTTCCGGTGTTCTTTATCTGCTTCAAGATAGTCAGTGTTCTCGTTTCGTAGTCTGTCACAAAGTCAGTCTTATTTCTCGAGATGAAACTACGAAGACGTTTGAATTTGATATTTTTTAACTGGTTCATTCTAGACTTAACCTCATTCAAACGTTTAAGGTTTAGGATAAGACCAAATCGGAGAATCCTTATTTTCCCTATTTCTGTGATTGTCTTGGTTGCTTTATTCTTTCTCAAAAATGGCCCTGCTAGAGATACATTATTCTCGGAGCGTTATGAAGTACTACCAATCGTTCTTAAACCTAGACATAGAGGTCGGCCGGGAGTGCTGAATGATGCTTCCGGACGGATGATAAGAAAACTTTCGGTTTCTCACGCGTTTGTTGTTAGCGCATATTATTACCCGAAATCATCATTGTGAGTTTATGGTTGTTCAGTTCTCTCCAAATAAAGGCAATTTTCAGGTTAGGCAATAATGCAATAGCATTGAATGTTGTGTTTGATTCAGTGAGCCACAATCTCGATCATGTTATCATGATAGGAACAAATGACACTGAAGAAACACAGTTCGTCGCTCGAACCCAGGTGTAAGTTGTTTTCTGCATTATCCCAGTCTTGGAAAACTATTACATAATATCAGAAGAGACCCCTTTTCAGAATGTGATGTTTGCAAACAATAATATTCAGTGAAAAATTTTCAGGAATTTCCACAATTTCACAGAAATTTTGTTGTAACTCTTTTTTATGCAATTTTTTTAAGGAATAGAAGTGCATTTCCTTCAAAATAAATCTACCCATTATAAGTTGGAATATTCTTCAGAAAATGATATGTTCGAAATTAAAAAAAAATATTTCCCAACTTTAGGGAATCATCTGAAGCTTGCCGCTATGCTACAACAGTGGCAACTGCTAACACTGTGGAAAATTTGACAAAGCTGGAGATTGAGTCAAACGACCATAAAATTGAGGTGACTTTTTTTGTAAATTTCCGATAGATCTAACAAGGTAAGCTTTTCATATGTTACCTGGGGATTCGAATGAAACCTATGCTAAATATTAGTACACAGGCTAACTAGATCAACCATAACATTATAGCTGCCAGTTTGAAGATCTGTTCAAATGACGAGACATTTTATGATTTTTCGTTCAAACTGTATTTTATTCAAAAGTTGATAAACTGACAAGCATTATTGTTCTTTGCAATTATGCTCCAACTCTAAAAGGAAAATCGGAAAATCAGGCCAAAAGAAAATATGAGTATTTCGAGTTCCAGCGATTTCAAAAAATGCCAATTTTTGAGAAAATGTACTCGGAGAACTATGTCTGTCAGATTTCTTAGGGCAAGTAACGTACATAGATATCCGTTTTCAAATATAGGTCCAGCCTTCGAGTTATGAGAATTATTTCCACTTAAAAAAATTTAAAATTCGTGTACATGAAATTTTTCGAAAAAAAACTTACAAACAATTTTTAAAACAGGTTGAAATGTAAAAAGGCAACAGAACTAAATCAAGAAATTCGTAAGGAAAATATTTGAATACTCGAAAAATGTCATGTATAATTCAACAATTTTTGGAAAAAAATTGAAATATTAGGTTGATGCCAAAGTTTCTTCCGATGTTGAATGCTTAACTTTGAGAATTGATATCTGCTCAGTACGATGGTTTTTCTCGACTGCTGTTTTTTGTTGGATAGAGTATCTCACGAACTTGCTTTAAATTTTTTGTTTTATTCCTACTTCATGTAGTTCGCAACAATGCCGCTTTCTTTCGGCCTACACTGTCTACATTTCTGAAATGTCATTTTATTTTGTTTTCTTCCTGGTTTGAAAAACTGATATTTATCAGAAAATGAAAGAAATAGATGAAGGAATATCTCCTGTTGTTATTACCATCGAACACTGGACCGATCGATTTGAATCCAAAAATTTTTGGATCAAATACGAAGCTCGGACGTTGGAGTTGGACCTATTGAAGACTACTGTTGAAGCCGGTCCGTTTCACACCACTCGTAAAATGTCAAAAGCATTTTTCGGACGTTGAGTTTGGTGAATGCTCTAATTATTGTAGATGAAAAGTGGGTAAGTTGCTCTACCACTGTGCGGAAAGGTCAGTTGATTGACAAAGAAGAGCTAGCTCTGGACGTCCGGAAACCTAATTTTCCTTTAAAAATGGGGATGCTATGTGTTTTGTCAAAGGAGTGGAGACTGGGAACTCTTCGATGAATGTAACAATTTAACTGCCACAATATATAGTTTATAATTAAAGAAACTGAAGCTGGGAGTCGAATCGCAACAAGGAGAAAATGGCAAGGGTTCTCCCAGCACGACAGTGTGAGATCGCCCGTGACTTGAGTGATCAACAAAAAATTATGTCGTTTGACTGGACTATTCCTTTGCACCCGCCGTATTTCCCAGACCTTGCCTTCTTGGAAAAATTGTCGTTTGTGCCGCTTGTACGGTATCTTGATAGAAAAGACCTTAAGTGAAAATATGAAACCAAAAAGGAGTCGACCAACTTCTTCAATCACAGCCATCCTCGTTCGGGACCGATGGATTCAAGAAACTACCGGATTGTTGACAGACAACTGTTAATGCTCATGGAAATAATTTTCATTGATCTAACCCCCTTCACTTCGAGAAACGTTTGATCAAATATTTGACCAAAATCGAAAGAAACTTCTGCATCAACATAATAAGTCTTGTAACTGAAGCGCTCGACCTATATTTGAACAAGTATATGTACGTTGCTCGCCCTGTGAAATCTAATAGACATGGTCTCCCGAGTACTTTTTGTGAAAAATTGGCATTGTTGGAATTCGCTGTTGAAATAAAATTACATAACCCTTTGAGTGACACAGAGGAGCGAAGCGACGAACAGTAAAAGATATAGATTGAATCGCGCCAAAGGCGCACCAGCCAACTGTTTGAAGCCCCGGAGGCGCGGCAAACATTCTGGTAGATGCAAAGAACAGTAATGCTTGTCAGTTTATCACCTTTTGAATAAGAAAAAACAGTTTGAACCAAAAATGTCTCCCCATTTGAACAGATCTTCAAACCGGCAGCTATAAACTCGTGGTTGATCTAGTTAGCATGTGTACTAATATTTAGCATAGGTTTCAGCTGAATCCCCGGGTAGGATATGAAAAGCCTCCCGTGTAAATAATTTCAGATACAATTCAAAATTGCACGCTATAATGCTCCTAAACCGGTTATATTCTGTCTTTCCCCACAGTCTTTGGCCGAACAGTGGCAGTTGTTCATGATACAGGCGCATATGTCTCAAAGGTACCATGAAGTTATATTTCAAATTTTTGGAAAATCATTTTTTAAAGGTTCGGAGCACATATTCACCTATATCTCACTTCTAGCCTCGAAAGTTATTTTGGTCTTCTGCGAGAATATGAGAAACAAGGATATATCACTATAGAAAACTGGTTGAGAATCAAGTTTTCTGAGACGACATCCCCATATTTCGAACCGAATGCAAATATGGAACTTGCAAATCGAGCAGGTGCTTATGCAGATTGCCTATTACAGTATAAGGTGAATCTGAAGTTTTTTTGGATTAAAAAAAAGAGTATTTCAGGAAGCTGCTAAATACGTTGCGTTTCTGGATCTAGAAGATTTCATATTCCCTGTCATGCGGACTACATACTTGAGGGAGTTCAACGCCGAGTTTGAGTATCAATTATCAGCGTCGTCGATACTGTATACAACTAGAGATCATTTATTAGTCAAGGGTATTTTTAAAGGATACATATCAGCAAAAACATTTTCCATTCAGCGGAATCTCTCGAGGAGTTCAGTTTTTATGATATTGTGGCCAGCTTGAAAACCATGACCACCTCTTTGAAAATTGGGAAAGTTGTTGTCCGAGCAGATCGATATAACTTGACAAGCATTTATGGAAACATGAATACAAATGACCGCAACAGGTATAGAACCATCAATATATTTACCTTTTGAACTCAACCTTTCTCTAATAGAAGCATCTATTTTTCAAGCTCCTTCTCAGGTTGCACTGCTATTAGAAAAAACCTTCGATTAAAGGCTTTTCGGATCTTAACTTAGCAGGAATATATTAAAAACGACAAGAAGAAACTGAAATTACGAGAAAATTCAAAAAAAAAATTATTAGGTCTGCAATAAAACTGCACAGAAAGGGTTGGGTTGTTTTAGAGGCGGACTTCTATTAGAGAAAATACGGACTCACAATTTCTGTAAAAGATGTCAACATTTTACAAACCTTTTACAAGGAAATGTTGGTGGTGGTAATCTGATCATTATACCAGTTTATCAATTCTCGATATTTCTCATGGGTACCGAGAAAATTGAGCTGAAGATAAATGAAATAGGAGTGGTTAGCTGTCTAATAGCCCAACTGTTTTGAAAATGCCGAAAATCGCAATTCATTTTTCAGATACACTGTGACCAATAACATGATTGTTCGCGTCCAGTCTGCACCAGATCAAACTAACGACACTACACAAAATGATTACTCATTTTCAAGTAAAATCCGACCGAAAGACCTTTTAGCTATAGAAGAGAGCATTTGGAGAATGAAAAACTTTTCGAGCATCGATGATCTTTCTGCTAGGTTGCCTCGTTTTGATTTTTACACACCAATCCTGTCCGAATGTCTATTTGCCACTCAAGAAGGCAACCGTAAAGGAAAGAACTGTATGAATTTTGAAAAATGTGCCATACCACAACGAGAAGACTTCAAGTGTGTTCATTCTGATGCTGAATACAAATCTGGACCTCATATAGAACCGTTCACATTCCATTATGCTCATAACTCATTTTGGTCAGACGATATGGGATGTCATCAATAAATTTTCTCCTTTTTGGTTTTTTTTCTGTGTTTTGTTCAGCTAGAACTGGTACTGAATGTCATTTTGAACCACGTTGACATCAAAAAACTTTGCAAAGATCGCCATCTAATTTCTATGCAGATTATGAATTAAGATACGAAATTCATATTTAAAAAGAAGATACAAATCAATTCAGTGACCACTTTGCCAGTTTCAGACTAACAGCTTCTGTAAACCCAACATTCAACTATGCGGTTGGCTAAAAAAATGCCTTCTCAAATTTTAAACAGACTTTATCCGGATTCCACGTGTTTCAACCGTTGCCTATTCCTACTGGCTGCCGTATCATTCATTGGCATTTTGACAGTGTTGGGTTGCGAGTTGAATTTGTACCAATTAAAAGTTTTCAGGTTGTCCGGAGGAAATCAAGCGATTCCTCACCCCATTCTGAATACCAAGAGTCTGAGAAAAGTCAATGCGTATTTGGCGAGAGTAGATCTAAATGAGACTAATGTGCGTACTCACAGAGGTTATGTTCCGCTCAATAAGGTTAACGAGGAAGTAAGCTCAATTAGCTACATCTTTTTTCTCCGAATACGTTTTACAGGTCTTTAAAAAGTTTAGTTACGAAATCATCGAAGCATCAATTCCGGTACCAACCCTCCGAATGACTAAAGAACCATCATGTGCTGACGTGTTCGCTGAATACTTAATTAAGACATCAGCTTCACATCCAGTAGTACCTCCTAAAATATTCCAGAAAGTCTATACAGATCTATTTTTACTAAATGGATACGCAGCGTTTGATGAGTGGTACTTTAATGACCAACCGATTAAGAGGGACGCACCAAGAAATTGGAGTAGAATTACCGAATACATGACTTATACTAAGCAGGAATTGGGAGAATTGGCGTATAAAAAGGAGTCAGGTAAGCTGACGGTATAGTATTCCTTAATTAAGGCATTTTAGAATCAATGTATCATGCTATGGCTGAATATGAACTCAAAGGAAAACACGGGTTCGTCGTCGGCAGTACGCGACCTTGGGTAGAAGTGATGGCTTTGAAGCATGGTTTGATTGTTTTTTCTTTGTTTTTCTTGGCTTTATGAAATCTCACTGGCTCGGTTCAGTGAACTTTCTACGTACCCTTTTTTATTTACCTTTCTATTCTGAGTCCACTGACTCTAGCTCATTTCTCAGGCTTTGCGGATTTTTAAAAATGACCTACAGTACCAATAAAAAATACAAAAATGTTAAACAGGAACCGCCAAAAAACTAGGAATTTTCGAAAAATGATGTGAATACAAAAATTACAACCTAGGTCTGCATGTTTTACATCCTTCGAAATTTTCAAAGTGATCGGAAACTTGACAGCCGAGCTTCAGACTCTTGAAATGGCTGACAATTAAATGAAAAAATACATTTTTGTATAATTTATTGACGGCTACTGTATATTCAACAACGGGGTGTCTATGAAATAATGATCTGAATGGCAGGAAATAATTCGCGCTGAGAAAAAATAGAAAAAATAATATTGTTGTTGTCGGAAAAAATTAGAGCTAGAGAGTACTTTTTGCAGTCTGTATACGGTCTCGAAGCTAAAATAACACATATTCGGTGGAGAAGCAGAGAGATTTTTTAACAAACTGTCTGCGTCTCAACTCTATTTTTTTCGGAAAACAATAATAGCGGAAATTTTTTTTCGATTTTTCCCAGCAATGTTGGAGTACGGAGAATGTGACCAAAATCTGTGTAACAGTTTTCCGAAGTATTTGCTCCAGCCAAACATTGTTTCCAGGTGCCAAAGAGATTTTGACAATCGAATCTAATCCGATAAAGATTCAACGAGAGTTCAAGGGTCGCCTCTCTTCTGTGGATCCCGTAAAATTTGCTGAACAGTGGAAAATGTATGAAACGTTCCTTAGTCTTAACTTCCACATAAACATTAAGGTACGCCGGAAAATATGACTTTGCTGCTTCATTCTCAACAATTGAACACTTTGGCCTTGGACGGTATGGAGATCCGATTGATCCTATTGGTGACTTGAGAGAAATGCTCAAGATTCGTTGTACTTTGAAAAAAGGAGGTAGGATTTGTTTTTAAAAAATAGCATTTTATTCTACTAAATTTAGGAATTTTCTTTCTGGGACTTCCGATTGGAATGGATGCTCTACAGTTTAACGCACAACGAATATACGGCTCAATGCGGTTGGCTATGCTGCTCTATGGGTTCGATTGGATTGCCACATATTCTGGTGATAGTGAACAGCCTATCGATTTGAATTGGGCGCTTCTCAATTCGAAAAAAGTGTATGAAGTCACACGATACACATTGGCATTGAGGAAAATTTAATTCTCGTTTCATGCCTTTTTTATTTATTTCGAGTAGTTTATTCAACTACAGTCTCATTCATGCTTTAAATTTATTTATGTGATAAAATTCTAAAATTTTTCCAGTCCAAAGATTCACACAAAGCACCGGTCAATAAGATATACAAAAACTCATTTTCCAGCTCGTCTATCAGGATTTCAATCAAATTTTTTTGAGAGGTGTAAAACGGACCTAGATGAAAACTTCGTATTCAAAAAAACTTCCGAAAATTTCTAGTTTTTCATCTATGCCGATTTCTGAAAGACAACTGCTTTTATCAACGTTTTTAGCACAGAAACGAAATCTTTCAAAAATCGGTAAAAAAAACTGAAAAACTAGGAATTTTCAAAAAATTCTGTGATCCGAAAATCAACTGAAAAAATACATTTTTGCCTATTTTGCTAAAGTACTGTAGGTGTGAGGAACGGAATTTGAAAATCCGAAATAAAATCCGGAAGCTGATAAATGGAAAAGGTTACGGTTAATGTTAATTCACTTTTTCGACCATTTTAAGTGTTCGTTGGTTTTAACATTGAGCACATTTGAACAGTGGGGACAGTGGAGTTCGAGTTACCAATTTTGAAACCTCGAAATATTCCAAAATTCCAACCTTCCCAGAATTGAATTTCATATTAAAAGGTAAAGGGACATGAAAAAATCTCTTTCTCTAAATTCGGTTCATATTCGGCCCCTCAGGGAGTTGAACCTGTACGCCCACACTTGGGTTCAAGCAAATGGGTCAGAAATCGCGCTCCAGTAAACGTGAGATTTTAGAAAAAATTCGCTGAATTATTTGACTGAGGATCAAACTTTTAAACGTTGGACGAAAAAATCACGCGTTGCAACTCGTTGTTATAAACTAATTAGGTCACATCCACGTCAACTTTGAAATTATTAAATTTCTTCTGACCTAAAAGTTATTTGGGGCGCGTTTTTTGACCCATTGGCTTGAACCCAAGTGCGCCCACCCTTGCAAGAGCCTTTACCAGCTGGGCTACGAAAACCGCATGGCGTATATTAAAACGCCACAATAGTCTCGCGCTGTGTAAACACCGATCACTGCACACCGTCACGTCAGAATGCATACTGTAACTTTGGAAAGTCTCATATCTCCCCCTTCATCAAAGATATAAAATTCTTGTTGTTACTTCCGCTGCATTAAGTTTTCTACCAAAGTATCCGATCAACAAGCCTGTTTTCGTGATCCAGTTTTCTCTTTTCCCGACAATACCATGCTTAGATTTGATCAAAAAGTTGAAATGTAAAACTTTCCAAACTGTATCTTCATCTAAATCGAAGCAAAGCTTTTTGCTGACTTCTCCAAAAGTGGGGCATTCAAAAAAACAGTGTTTTGAGTGTCACGACGACAAAAACAAATTTATGAGAAACCAACAAACTGAATACTGGTTCAACCATGTTGATCATTATCTGTGCATCCGCAACTAACTACCAAAGACATGTTCAAGATTTTTGAAACCGATAGTTTCCGATTCCCCTGTTTCTCGTTTATTGTTCTTCCGTTTCATATGTATTCTTCCAACTTGGTTCACTTCGTCCAATATCATAGAGTCTTCAGAAAAATGAGCAATAGAGCATTTCTGCCATCATCGTCCACCTGTTGTTATCTAGCTCTTTTCATTCTTACACTGCTCACTTTTTTTGTTTTTGTGTGAGTTCGAATTTTGCTAAAATTTTGGACTTTATCAAATCTCAGTATTTCAGAAAACAAAATAATACCATAACGAATTTCTCACAACCTGCAAGTCCGAAGCAGGCACAAAATGAAACAAAAACCGGGCCGACATCTAAAAACTCATCTGAAGAATTGTTTGATCTCGAAAGTATCAATGCCGTTACTTATAAAGGGCACATATCACTGAAAGAATTAAATGAAGAGGTTGGTATAACATTCACACAAAAAAAACGTATTCGAACAATTTCTAGGTGTTCCAACCATTCGGTTATGAAATAATAAAGCCCACTTTACCAGTTCCAACAATTCGGATGATAAAAGAGCCTACCTGTGACGAAACATTTTCCGAATGGATCAAAATCGCTAATATGAAGCAACCAGATGTTCCACCAATTCAGGTCCCAATTATTCACGCAGACGACTACATTATGAACAATTTCGCTGCATTGAGTTATGTATGTCTGAACGGTCGAACTTTTGAGTGTGCACGAAAATTTTTCCTTTTAGGGATACATGAACAACAACACTCGTAACGAAAAAAAGCCAACTAACTGGCATCGACTGGGGGAGATAATGTCGTTTTCGAAAGTTGAGCTTGGCCAATTGGAGTATCAAGTTGAAACGCGTATTGTAATTTTTTGAATTCTTAAAAACCGAAAAATGTTTAGAGTCTATGTACCATGCAATGAATGGATACCGGTTGGACGGAAAGACTGGAATTGTAGTTGGTAGTATGCAACCATGGCTGGAGGTTATGGCATTTCAAAATGGTTAAGAATTTTGTCTCTCAATTTTTCTAACAGTTCAATTTCAGGGGCCTCGAAAATTTTAACAGTGGAACACTACAAACTAGACATTCCGGATCAATTTCGAGACATATTGACTGACATTCGACCTATGGATTTGGCAACGAGTTGGAAAAAGTGAGATGCAAAACATTTTCAATACTTCAAGTTTTTTATTCAGATACGCCGGCTCATTCGACTTTGCTGCTTCGTTCTCTATCATCCATCACTTCGGACTTGGAAGGTTCGGAGATCCGCTAGATGCTATTGGTGATTTAAGAGAGATGCGCAAGATTCAATGTCTTCTAAAACAAGGAGGTATACTGTACCTGGCCGTGCCAATTGGAACTGATGCTTTGCAATTCAATGTTCAGCGAATCTATGGAGCTATCCGATTGGCAATGATGTTTGTTGGATATGAGTGGGTGGCGACGTATAGTCACGAATCCAGAGATCCTATCACACTTTCATCAGAAGTTCTACACAAACCATTGTTCATATCCCAACATTATACTCTGGTCCTGAGAAAAATGTAATATTGTTCTTGAATTGTTTCTTGTGATTTAATAAATCTGTTGTCACAGTAATATTTTTTCCACGTTTTCAACAACTGTTAGGCTGCAAAACGCGAAAAGAACAGCATTCAACTTTGAAGCTTACAGTGTTTGTGTGTAAAACCTATTTTTTATGGTTTTACTGATAAGAACCCAAGATGGTCCGTATAAAATGAATCACGAGAGAACAAGAAATCCACCCGAAATTTCATCATGAATGAACTTCATTTTTTGTATTCTCATTGTCCTCGGATGGGCTACTGCTCAGTTCCCAAAGAATGGTCAGAACAACATTCTTGAAGTTCACAACACGTTCAGACTTCCATTGCCAGAGGAAAATTCAAGTCGCTTGGAGAATTTCTATCACGGTAAGGTAAAAACATTTGTTAACTCAGAAATGGGATTCGACTCTTGAAGCCTCTACTCAAGAGATGGCGGAGACATGCGATGGCTACCAAGTTGCTGAATACGGAGAAAACACTTTCTCTAAATTGACTGTTCCCTGAAAACGGCATTGAAGGCATAGTAAGGTTCAAATGATGTGGAATTTCAGTTTAATGGTATTTTTAAGGGACTGGATGATGCGGTAATTTGGCAGCAGCAGGTTCAACTTCTAAATTTGACTAAAGCCAGAAAAACAATGCAAGATTGTGGTGTACAATGTGGGATTCCGTGAGTGGCAGAAGTTTTAAAATCACAAACTCAACTGTTTTCAGAGAAAACGGAGATGCTCTTCCCATGTATAAAAAAAAGAACTATGTGCTCGGCTTGCGATTCCGGATTCCAATGCGAGACTTGGTCCGGATTGTGTGCCAAATTTGAAATGCCCGAATCATTGTGTTCCTTCAGACAGTAAACTCTCTTTCTCTTTGTAACTTTATAACTTTGCAGTAAATTCCAGAAATGAAATTATTTTTTAACAAAGAATCTGGTAGATTAAGATGTTTCCTCCAAAAAAAATAACTCTCTGAAATTACATTCAACATTTTATTGTTTATCAGAAAATGAGATATGACTGCAGCATTTTATCTCACAGTACAATTATTTTCACATAAAAACAATTATAACTTCCTTAATACAAGAGTGTATTGTGTCAAATTTGGTGGCGGCTTGGCGTGAAGAGTACGCGAGTCTAAATCAAACGGCTGCTCACTTTCTCCAGAGTACGATGCAAGCCAATCAAAGCCGTAGATCATCATAGCAATACGAATGGATCCATAAATTCGGTGAGCATTAAATTGCATCGCATCCGTTCCATACGGTAATCCCAAGAAGAGGAGTCCTCCCTTTTTGAGCATGCACTTGATTTTGAGCATCTCCCTCAAATCACCGATTGGGTCAACTGGATCGCCATATCTTCCTAGTCCAGAATGTTCAATTGATGAGAAGGAGGCAGCAAAGTCGAATGTTCCAGCGTAACTGAACACAAGTAGGATGAAAACTTTGAAATTTTGAATTCGCTTACTCCTGCCAGTTCTTAACAAAATCAACTGGTAGAATAGATGATAGCCTGTTTTTGAATTCAGCTGGTATTTCGAGCGGGTTATATTCTACGGTAAGAATATGTTTAGCGCCTTAAACATACTATATTTGATTTCTTTTTCAACCTGAACTCCTACCATGCTGCAAAGCCATTACTTCCACCCACGGTTGCATACTTCCCACGATGAATCCATCCATTCCATCTAGTGGATAACCGCTCATTGCATGATACACAGATTCTGAAGAACATAAAGTTGTAGCTTAACGGAAACATTACGATCTACCAGATTCTTTGTTGAAGGAATATGCTAGTGCACTAAGTTCGGATTTGGAAAACTTCATATACTCTGAAATCTTGTCCCAGTTTCGAGGCGCATCTCCACCTTTTTTATCGTTGAAGTACCACTAAAACACTTTGATTCATTAATGCAATTGTAGCTGAGCCTTACATTGCTTATCGCTGTATATCCATGCATCAAAAACTCATTGGTCAGGTTGCCTGGCAACTGCTTTGGAGGAGCGTCTGGTTGCGGCTTCTGAGAAATTTCTAACCATTCGGCGAAGACTGTTTCACAAGACGGCTCATTGATCATCTCAAGAGTTGGCACTGGAAGTGATGGCTTGGATATTTTATAGCCAAAAGCTTTGAACACTTTTTCGTTGAGCTCATGGAGAGAAATGTAGCCGATATGGGTCATAACAGTATATTGATTTAAATCGTGTCCTGGTTCTGTTGTTGCTTTCTCACCATCTTGGCTGTCTTTGGTGAGCAATACACTTGGGTGGTCTTCTAGACTGTCATTTCTTCGATTTCTGAAATTTCTCTCTGAAAACTTTTTAGAACACTCTATGACTCACAAGTATACCAAAATCACTAATAGTCCGAATACAATTATAACTGGAAAAAAGCGGGCCCAAATCGCTGGAGGATAGGGTCTAGAACTCATTCTAAGTTTTTGTGAAGTGAAGTTTGCTTATGAGAAAAAGAAATGTCTTTTTGTAGTCGATCCATGAATTTCATCGGATAAAGCATCTTGTGTGAGATAATAATCCATGGTGGTTTCGGGAAGTGAGTTATCTATACGCTGGCGGAAGAAACCTCATGAAATAAACCGGAAACTGTTACACTAGTCAAACCAACAAACTGGTAGTTACATTGGACCGGAAAGGGAACAAACTAACTTGTGTTCCTATTACTTGATCTTGATGAAAACTCCAAGAAAACTAGGTCTTGTAATTTTGTAGAGATTTCGATCATGAAGATTGTTATCCGGCCAAAATTTTGCGGCTTGTTTATTTATTTATTTTTGAACAAAATTGAGTAAATTTTTTTATTCAAACGAAGAAAAAACAATTCAGAAAATTCTCTTTTAGATCAACAAAGAAACAAAAGAATACTGCGGAAAAAAACAAAGTCGAAGTTCTAATTTTCGTTGTTGTCCTTCATTTTCTTCTTCTCACAACTGCCATAGACTATACTTTTCTAGCAAAATCTTTGAAAATCCTGATTTCAGAAATTACTCAACCTTCAATCCCTCTTGGGCGGTGTTCAAGAAAGACGCCAAGAATTGTTCATGAAACCAAACAAAGATCGCAAACCAGATAAGACGCTGTTCACTTTTGCGCTACTCGGCGGTTGTATTATTACTGTACTTCTAATACATTTATGATGTTAATAATGACAGCTGAGACTCATAAATTAATTGTTCCGACAGATGCTGATGAATGGACCGAGCAAGAAAAAGCACCGGTTGGATGTTTTAAGAGAAACTTCACGAAACTATCATTTCTCAAGTGGTTTCTAGTAATTGTAGTTTTTTGTTCATGTGAGTTGAGAATTGCTGTATTGTACAAAGATATACCAAATTTTTATAACTTTTTCATGTTTATCACTTTTTCTAACAGAAAAAAGTCAAAGTATGATATCTTTTTGACTGGTATTGTATCGACGGAAATTCATTCAAACTTTTACAGTATTAAGCACGGAAGTTTGGAAATTCGGACGCCTTCCTACTTTGTCAGTTATGTTTATCTTGAAAAATAAACACATTTCGGATTTTTAGCACATCACACGGCCTGGGAGCATCACTTGCGCTTTACGCAGCATCTACAGAACTTGAAAAACCATTCGTTCAACCTAATAAATATTTATCGAGCAATCTAGCGTCTTCATCTCGTCTTGGAAATCATCTATTTGAGTTATCATCTCTTCTGGCTATTTCGAGAAAACTGAACAGGACCCCAACTGTTTTTGCAGTTGAACCTTATCATGAAAAAATGCTGCAAGATACGGATTTAGTGATTCCAGGGTTGCTTGATCATTTTCTGATTATCAACTCGACTGTAGGTTGAAGCACAATATACTGTAGACTCTATCAAACTTCCAGGTACCTCCAACAGTCACACCTACAGATTTTCAAATGAGATGCTGTTTTTGGGATGACCCGGATCGATTAAAGAATATCACTGATGAATATCTACACATTAGAGGGACACACTATCAGGTATCCCGTCCCGATAGAATTCTAGTTTCAGTTTTTTGTTTGCCCAGAGCTGGAAATATTTCCCCCGATTGCGAAACGAGTTGATGAGTTATCTGGCTCCTCCAACTCATGATTTTGAGGATCTTCCAAAATCAAATGACATTACAAAAGTGTGAGTTTTCCCACTATTTCTACATTACAGAAGATTAAACGTTTAGAACCTGCGTGCACATCAGGAGAACCGATTTCGTAGGCTCTGGATTTTACGTGCCTGATGAGAAATTTATTCTGAGCGCGATGCAATCTGTAGAGAAAGCGGGTCGGTTAAACTTTTTTCATAAAGTTCAATAATGTTAGTTTACAGAGAAGCGAACAAAACAGGTGGTAATGCGAACGGTATTCTTTGGGGATGATTTTGCATTCATGGAGAATTTATCGAATATGTCGTTCGCAATGTCGAATGGATTATTGAAAGACTTGAAAACCGAATCTTTCATATCTCGTGATAACCCATCGGATAGTATTATATACTCCAAGTATAACTGCGACGTTGTACTGTTTACATGTGCATTTGTATTTTTTTGTACATAAATTAAATTACCTATTTTTAGCTCCTCACTCCACTTTTGGATGGTGGTTGGGATACTTGTCGAAAGGCAATCAAGTGTATTATACTGATATTAGATATACGGATGATGTGAGCATTGTGAGTGAATTTCATAATGTTTTCTTTCAAAGTTAAATAATTTAATTTTTCAGCCATCAGGAACATTCAGTGCAGACGATTACTACCCAACGAACTGGATACCTTTAAGATATAATGGACCTGATAATATCACTGTTGTTGAAACTTTGAAGTGATTTTTTTTCCAATAAATTTGTATTGCTCATTTTATGAATAGTTTTCCTGGAAATTGAAAATGAAAAATAGTATAAATACAATTTGTCTTATTGAAAGACTTTATTTTCTAAACATCTCAAACTTGAAAAATGAGAAAAATTAGATTCAATCGATTTGAAAATTATGGTTTTCTGACTATAAGATTAAAACCTGAAACTATCCGTTAGAATTTGACAACTAGGTGACTAAATTTTTAGAAATATTGAATCTTTTATGATTTAGAGGTTAAAGGAGGCAAGGTATAAAAAAAAGTTTTCTAGATATTTTGATATTTTGTCTAGAGAACCCCCATGAGGAGTTGAACTGATGAGGTGCAGGTCAGAGCTACACGAGCGCAAAGCTGGCTGGCGACCGACGGCCATATACGTAAGCTCGGCGCGATTTTATTCGCCAGACTGTCCCAAAAACTTGTTGCTGTCTCGCCTTCTTTAATTTAAACTATTTCATTTGTCGACCCCTCCGTTTGATGTCTCAGAATATTCTCAAGTTTCCGGTTCTAAGATTTTTGATTCTTCTCCCGTTCAACAAATCTATACCGGAAATAAAGAAGCCAATCTAACTGAACTAGTAATTCGGGAGGCGGTGTTCCATAAGATTCCGAAAATGAACAGATTTTATCTATTCGAATGAATATGTCTCCACCATAAAACTAATACTTTTTCAGTTCTCTCTTTTTTGTTCCCTTTCAATGATAACTCTCAAAAAATCGAAATTTTTTTCTGTGTGCTTTTCGAAGCAGGTACTTAATTTAAGCATTAAATTATTCCTGGCTGTCACTATTATAATTTCAACAGTATTTTTCCTCGACTCGCTGTTAACACCTCATAAACGAGTACCGATTGTTGAACCGGCTAGAAGTTTATTCCATAATCCTTCTTCGGTTCGTTTGGAGAGTATGGTAGAAGATGATGAGTATGCTGAGACTCGAACAGATGCTTATATAATTAACACGTATTACTACCCAACTTCCAAGTCGTTAGGTCAAAATGCAATCGGTATGGTTTTACTGATGAATCGATTTACACAAAAGAATATGACACAATACAAAATGCAACTTATCGCTACCAGCAAATCAAATCTATCAATGGCAACCACTCCAGTGTTACTAGAGTGAATCATTTCGAATTTGAATAACATTTGATTCAATTATTTTTTCAGAGAATCGTATTCTAGCTGCGCCTATATAAATATGGTGGCTACTGCGAATGTTTTACCGGATATGACTAAACTGGAAATATCGGACGGACAGTCTAAAATGGAGGTAGGTTTTTACTCCATAACGCTTCAAGAAATCAAAAAAGAGTTTAGATCCCATTTAAAGTAGCTAGGACATCTGCTCCTGCTCCAGTTGTTATCTGTGTGTCCCCACAATTCGCTGCAGAACAATGGCAGCTCCTAGTAGTTCATGCTCATGTTGCTCGATACTTTGGTGGTCACATTCATTTATACGTTACCAGCCTCGTCGATTCATTCTATGATCTGGCCGTTGAATATGAGAAGCACGGATATATAACACTAGACTTCTGGATGCGTTTGAAATTTGCCAATGCTTCTAAAGATGCTGTAGAACCAAATCTTCACGCTGAGCTTAGAAACCAAGCTGGTGCAGAGTCGGACTGTCTGTTGCAATACAAAGAAGCCGCAGCCTTCATTATGTTTTTCGACTTGGATGACATTCTAATCCCACGAGGATTCAACAACTATTTTGACGAAATCACATCTCTATACAAACGACATCCACGTACCCAAACATTCCAGTACACGAAACGAGAACTTTTGACATACAACAAGCCAACAGTTGAAGATATCAACATCAAAGAAACACTCGGACACGTTTGGTTTGTGAATGAGGAAGACTATGGGAAGATCATAACGGATCCATCAAAACTCAATTCAATGTGGATTCATCAGTCATGGAATGTCAAAAAGAACTATATCAGTCGCACAAACTACATTATACATCTTCAAAAACCAGTGGACCCCGATGGCCACGATCCGGTTTCTTATCGAAGGAGTGACTTTGATGAGATGATTAGTATGAAGTTCAACACTTCAATATTGGATCCAATTCAAGAAGACTTGGAACGATTTATCAATTCCACTAAGCTTCCAGAAATTTCCAAAAGGCTTCCAAAGAAAACATTCTACTTCCCGATTATTTATCGTTGTTACTTTGAAAAGTTTTATAGGAGACCAAAGAAGGATTCATGTCCGAATGGAGAAGGATGCCAGGTGGGTATTATTTTAAATAGAGTTCTTGATTTTTCGGAATTTTATTTCAGATGCCTCAACGACACGACATTAACTGTGTAAATGCAGATGCGGATTTCAAATCTGGGCCACCAATGAATCCAATCACTTACCACTATCATGTGAATACTCGATGGACAAAACAAAAAGGTTGTCAAATGTGACGAAAGAAAATAGTTTAATTGAAAAAAGTGTAGAAATCGAATGTCTGTTTCTTGCTTTATTTCTTTGTAAAATTGATATAAACTAAAATTTTTTTCGATGTTTGTTTATCCAATAAAAATATTTTCTAGAAAATATCCATCAAAGTTTCCCTTTCCTCACAATCAGAAAACCATAGTTGCAAAATCGCGAGCCGGCCCGTCGCGAATTTTGGCGGACCGGGCCGGGGTCTGTACAGACGCTGATTTTTTTTGAATTTATTTTCGAAATTTTCAAAATTTTTTCAAAAATTTATACAAAGATGGCCTATTTCTGACTACTTTCTACTTTGTGAATATTGTTTAAAATGTAACCTTTTTTTCTTTTTTTTTATTCAAAAAAAGGCGGGCTGTGCCGAGAAAATCCGTCTACCGGCCCGGCCCGGCCCGACTTTTTGCAACTATGCAGAAAACTATAAAACAAATCTAAAAGTTTATGAACCAATGCAATTTTCCGGTTTCGTCTGTCAATCGAACACGTTCCAAAAGATAACAAATACTAATCACCAACAAAACACAGAACTTGTTATTCTGTCACAAACCGAATTGCGCCGCCTTTTGAACGAAAAAGTATTTTGTTATCTGCTTTACTGACAAAATCACTTCCCTGAAGCTAATATGGTTTGCAAAGAACTCTTTTCAATGGATCAACGAATAACTGCATTTCTAGTTTGATTTTTCGACTTTAACATTTTGAAGCTGCTATTTGGGTGTAGATAACTTTGAATAGAACACAATTTTTGTGTTTTTTTTGCATAATATTTTGCGACTTTTGATTTTTTTGTGCACAATAATTTTATAACATACAGATCAAAAAATAGCAGCTCTTTTTGTGTTCCATTTTTGGTGTTTTTATGATGAACCTGTGATGTGTTTTCACCAAATCTGTATAAAAGCTTACAACAAACAGTTGCAAAATGTCCAGAGAAATGTTAGAGCTTTTTTTATTCGTTAATTCTTCAATCGTTCAATCAAACAGTAGATATGTTCTACTTTCTAATGAAATGAGTTCCTGGGAGAAAAGATTTTATCTGGGAAACAGCCGAAATAGGAAAACTAGACGACCGTCAAACAAAGATTATCGGAAATGTGATCAACTAGTAATCCGATTGTTATTTTGCTTACGACATTAAATTTCTAACAACTATGTGGTGTATAACTTTTCTGAAAAATGTTCACACTCGATTTAAGATTTTTTTTTTCGTTATTTTGTCCTAATAGTAAATTTCAGCCTGATGTCTGTGTCTCCCTCTTCACCAGATATTTGTGCTGTATGTGGGGGACTACCGAATGGACGAAGATATGGTCCCATCACCTGCTTGGGATGCATTGTATTCTTTCGGAGGGCTGTTCAAGATGACAAACTGGGAAAGTGCGAAAAGGACTGTTTGTATAAAAATATTCGGGGTATGTTTATTCTGAATTCATCTTGCCTTATAATATTTTATAGATCTTAAGTTCATTTGTCGAAGTTGTCGACTCCAAAGATGTTTAATTGCTGGTATGAATCCTGACGGTATTTTTTCGAAAACTACGCAACCTGTTATTGTTTTCCCTTTTTCAGCTATCAGACTCCGTGATAAACTTGGTCCTCGAAGACCAAAACAAACACAAATGGATTCATGTTCTCTGAAGACCGATAGAGACCTAACCTCTTTATTGGTGCTACAGAAGAAACAAAGAAATCTTCACAAACGATATTGTAAGCCGAAATTGAATGTTTCGGAAACATTGATCATGGTAGGCAACAAACAATTTCTTCAATTATTGCTTTATTGAAATTTCAGATCAAACAAAAATTATACCGTCGAGCGAGTTCTTACGATATAGAATTGGTTCTGAAAATTGGTTTACAAAATGCAATGGAATGGGCAAATCAGTTTGAATCGTTTTGGACCTTCAAAATCCACGAGAAAAAATTGGTACTGTCGGAATTCGGTATTGCATATATACTAGTGGATCAAGCATCCAAAACCGCTATGATGGCTGACAAAAGATTCTGGTTACTTCAAAATGACAGTTTTTTACATCCGGATTATTTTTTGAATATTTCACCGAAAGATGCACAATTGGAAAATAATAAAGTGCATGCGAGGTTTGTCTGAATTAAAGAATAATTCTAAATTTTAATTCAGAAATCATTTTGAGTTTGTAAGTGGATTATTGAAGCGAATTAGCGATCCATTTTCAAGTCTTCAAATCGATAGATTCGAATGTGTCATATTAAAAACACTGTTATTGCTGACACGTTAGTTTTAAAAAATCTAGAAAGGATATATATTTCTTAGCTTCAATTTCAGCTTCATATCCAGGAGAAGTGCAACTAGAAGGTTCACAAAAAGTAGTATCAAAGTGTATGTCTGTTTTGATGGCACATTGTGTCAAAAAATCACCGAGAATCGGAGTGGAACGTTTTGGAGAGATTGTCCTTTTGATGAGGTCGATTCGATGTGCTGTGAAATGTTTCTACAATCAAACAAAGCTTTCTTCACTGTTCGATATTTCCAAATTCGATTCATTTGTCAGAGGAATTTTTCTATCATGATAACGCTTTTCACATTCTTTTATTTCCAAGTAATGAACGGGTTCAATTTATTGCTTTTTCAAAGTTTTAAAATGTGATTTTAAAAAACAGGAATAGCACAAAACATACAACAAAACATACAACTAAAAACAAATAAAAGGACTATAAATCGGCACCCGATGAAAGAGAAGGACAACACATTAAATGAACAAACGAATGGTTAGCTTTTGGAAATGAAGGATTCGGTTCTAAATTTCTGAATTTTTTGTTTCTGGAAGCTTGAAGTATCTGGGCGATGGTGGCTTTGTTCTATTGTTCTTCAAAGAAAAAGTTTTGTTGGTTTAACTCTCCAAGCATTTGATATCATCTCCGAAAAAACACAGTCCATAGTTTTCATGCGTTTTCGCTTTTTCAAAAAAAAATGGATCGCAAGAAACCTGCTATACTTTGAAAACTTAATCTGATACATTATTCATCGCATTCTCGGAACGCAAGTTGAATTCGTTACTTTGTAACGAGAAGGAACAACAGACTGAATTAGATAAAGATCGAATCGAGATTAGGGGGAAAGCTGGTAGTATTTTGAAGCTATTATTCTCCTTTTCAACCCTTCTGTTCCATTCAACCAAAATTTCCAAACATTTCTAAAAAAATGGCGATCAATGTCAGACAGAGACTGTTCAAATTTACTCAAAACTTCAAAACGAAAAGGATGAAAATATTTTTATGGTGTCTTTTATCCTATTATAGTAAGTGTAGAAACTTCTTGATTTAGTTTATTTTTCTCCAGAAATGTTATTTATATATTTTCAGTATTAATCCTCCTCACTGCGAGTAGTGAAAATTATATCAAAGCGTTAGTTTGAAACAATTCAAATTTCAATGACTAATCGACTACCTTTCAGAATAACTTTTCGAGTATTGAGATCTCTTGGAATAATGAGCGCCGAGCGAAAAGTCTATGAAGACCATAATAGGTACTTGTCTAGCAACTTGGCAGCATCCTCTCGTCTAGGAAATCATATTTTCGAATTATCGGCACTTTTGGCAATGTCTAGAAAACTCGAACGTATTCCCACATTTTTTATCCAAGACAACTGGCATGATCTGATGTTACAGGATACGGATATTTTGATTCCAGGATTAGTAGATCATTTTTTGATTATCAATGAAACTGTGAGTTCTTAGAACTCAGATATTTGTTTACCCTTCCAGTCCAACTTTTCAGGTGCCCGCATCTGTGGTTCCTGTAGATTTTCATATGGTTTGTTGTATATTTGATGATCCTGAAAAGTTGAAAAATAATACAGACCAATATTTACATATCAAAGGAACGCATTTTCAGGTGATTTTGATTTTGGCTGTGAGAACATTTTTAAATTTTGCACTTTTTCAGAGTTGGAAATACTTTCCAAGAATGCGAAATGAATTGATTGGTTATTTGAAAAAACCGACAAACATGCATCCGGATTTACCAAAATCTGACTATTTAAATTTTTTGTAAGAGAGAAACGTGATTTATTCCAGTGCAAGGGTCTCTAGAAATTTAATAGCGCGTCCAAAGTTCCTAAACCTGGGATTTCTTTGCCCAGAATACAGTTCAAAGTGACGCTCAGATTCAAAAGATTTCGAATTAAGCAAAATTTAAAATGCGACAATGCTATTTGTTATTGCAACCATTCTTGTAATCCTGGCCTTTGCCGGGCCTTCGCGGGCCCTGCCATAACTTCTTTCAGAATTAATGTTTTCGAACCAACTTAATCAGGTATGGTAGAGCTCCACGAGTACTACAAAACGGTATTATTTGGAATACTGTATCTTGTCTATGAACAGAGTTACAGAGCAAAAGAAGCAAAAAAAGCTGGCCCGCCCGGGCCGGCCGAGCCCTGCGAGAGC